GTTTTGAGGTTATGACTCCTTAGTCCGATTTCGGAGCTATGTGCGTCCGAAGAAATCCGAAGATTCATTGCTGCCATGTGATAGTGTTCACTATTGGCACAGAGGTCCTCTTGACCTGATTCGACTTGTAACCGGCATCCCCTTGGATTGCTCATGGCCTAGACGGATAGTATTTGGTATGTCTTTGATTAGAGGGAGCACCCTGCCTCTCCGAGTCCTGTAGACTTGTAAGAAGCAGGTTCGAGTAAAAGCTTTAAGTATCCAAGTTGGCCTTCGGGCACGCAAATGCCTTCTAGCGATCTCAAGACACACTCTGCTAGTACTACATGCTACTGTCTCCTGGTTGGCTGCTCAGACCTCGCACCAACCCTTTGTTGAGTGATTTATATAGCCGATTACAATACAGCTAGTGGCACAGAATCAGCAAAAATCGCAAATTCCGCGCGTGGCCAAATCGCCGGCTTATCAGCGGGGAGAAGAGAGACGCGAGAGTTGCGCGAGAGAGCAAGACGAAGAAATTACGCGACCAGTCATCCGGCAATGAGTCCTCATTCATCAGTAGCCCACTCCAGGTGTTCAATACCAGTTGTTTCTTCAACGCAAATGGGCCGAATTTAATTTTGTTCGTGAGCATGCGGTCGCGTCGCAGCGCAAAGTTGATCGCGGTTAGCCACTGATTGTGGATGTTGTCTGAGCTAAGGATTTTCCCTCCATTTCTCATGACACGGTTCACACGGAGGTTCCAGATGAGGTGCCATCCCACCGACACCAGTATCGCAAATAATCTTCCTTTCTCGGGGATGTTGTGATTGCCGGATGACTGGACACTCACAGAGGGGGTTTTAGTGGGTATATGGCCAATAACTGGTATAGGATAAATTCTTCGCGGCCAGAGTCCCACACTGGTTAACATATTGTGCGTAACGGCATTTCCTCCTGGACATATCACCAGCATGACTGGCCTAAAAACCAGCAAAAAGCGGATGACTCAGAATGCTTCTGCAGACGGAGTTTAAATCATTACACCAAATGCTCCAAAAAAAAAAAAAAAAAAAAAAAAAAATACGCGACGCCGCGCAACGCGCCACGTGGTTCTGCCGATATGATTGATCTGCGGCAGCAACCTCCTTCGGGACTTGTCTTCTCCCATCTCCCTCTCCGGCCGTTCTCAGTCCTTGTCTTCGTCCAGGATCGCAAACTGTCTCTAGGGCGCAACCAGCATTGCATCGTACTATAAATCAATGTGGAGATCAAAATGGCTTAGAAGAGCAAAATACAGTCGATCTCGCTCATTTCTGAGCCGACTGCCTTCGGAGTCACCGCAAACTAAACCGATACATGTATAGTTGTAGCATATGAAAAAATATTGAGGGGTCTCTGTCCAATATTGAGCGAGATAATGCCCCGAGTCCATCAGACCAGTGATCCAAAATCAAAATCAACTTTAACTCTATGTCCCACCAATAAAATTTCTTGCAGCGTAATACATGCACTCTTAGGTGTCGTAAAAGTCTACTGCGCAAAATTCCGGAGGTAAAACGGTGAAATAACGGGCACTGCAAGCAATTTTCAGTAAATGTCACGAAATGTCACGTCGGACTTTGGTGATGAGAATGTCACGCTAAAATCGATAAATGCATTGTGGCGGTCGACTCTCAACCAATTTTCCCCAAAATCCTTGTGGAGAAGATTAAGACACCCGACTCGAGTGCCTATATTCCACTGTAAGAAATTTCGTTGGTGCCAGGTAGAGCTGAACTCGATTTTGACGTTAAATCGGTGGCCTGATGCCCTCGGGGCGCTGTCTCACTCAATATTGAACGGAAACCCCTCGTTGTTTTTTTATATTCTATATGTACACAGGCATCGGTTTTATTTCCGGTACTCCCCAAGGCATTCGGCTCAGAAATGAGCGAGATCGACTGCATTTTGCTCTTCTAAGTCATTTTGATCTCCACATTGATTTACTGTATTTTTTCGTTCAAATCGACAGTCACCCGTCACGCACGCTCCTGTCGATGTCGAATATTGGTCGAGGTAACGCGTCACGAGGGCCCCCGTCGAATTGGTCCAGCGGTTGGTCACGCAGGCCCAAAATCCCATAAAATAGCAGAAAAGAAGTTCTTGCCCTTGGGCAGTCACTTTCCAGCATGATTTCGACCATTTCTCAACCTTCTGTTGGGACTTTGCCTCTACAAGCCTAGAGTTTCAACATCTGGCTGGGATCATGCCCTAAATCAGCCTGGATCGAAAATTTACCAGAAAGTACTAGTCAAGGTTTGAAATGAACCAAATATCCTCCTGCTATCCAGGAAGTTCTTTCACTTGTCTTCTCCAAAATTTCCGGGTCATGTCGAATTTTTTGCCTTGTCACGCGGCTCAAAGCCCGGTGTCGAACTGTCGAATTGGTTGAACATGTCACGCGTCACCCCCCCTGTCGATCTGAACGAAAAAATACAGTATAGTACGACGGATCCTCTCCAGCCGGTCCTGTCTCCGTGACAATCACCGCGCTTGCGGCCTGCGTCCCTTGTGCTGAGTTGGGTGCTGCGTTCGAGCAGTTGCTTGTTTGTCGCTTAACTGGGATGACGCGGCCCTGCTCTTTGATGAACGAAGTATTGAACGGCTTCCTAGCTCGCCGGTGACCTCTACTGACTCATCTACACCGTCTTAACTGCGCCTGGCTGCAGAACTCGCGCAACCTACGCTGCAAGGCAAATCCGCAAACTCCGAGTCACACGTATTGAATCCTACCAGCACCACCCCCGTCTACATGCATATCGGCAACTCAAACTGTGTGCGCGCCATACTCTCATCTAGTACTTGAACGGTTTTCCCGGGATCAAGCCCGCACCACTTTATTCCGTCCTCTCCGAAAGTTCCTACCCTTCATTCCATCACGGATTCCACTGTGTGTCATGCACCCATCTATCTACCTGGTTGTCGTCTCTCTTTCTAGATCCCAACCCCCGCCTCATATGCATCAAGACTATCAGGACACCACAATGTAATGAATTTATGTTGGGTCCTCCCTTCATTAACGCCTACTAGTCTGGATTGAACAGGTTCTATTCTGACTCTACGGTCCCTTTCGTCCCAAGCACCGCATCGATTCGCACTGCCAACGATTAAACGTCTCCTTCGGCTTGAGGATTGATAATATTAATAGCTGATAATCGTCAACGAAAACCGGAGTTTCAACTGGAACAAATCCGTTGAATGCGTCCGAGGCATGCCTGTGCTGCCAACGACTAAACGCTTTCCTTCGACTCCGCTGGTTATGGTAGATATTCGCCACCTCAAACATATATCCAATATTTAAATCCGACAAACAGGGCATAAGCGAGTTTTCCGTTACTCTTATCCGCATCGTCGAACCCCAAACCCTTTCCTTGGACTTGATGATAGATAATCGCCGTCGCCGACTGGCATATTCAATACCTGCAGTAAATCCGACACGATATTCGGCCGGTATGTATCATCGTCGAACCCTTATTCATTTGTAACTCAACCCGTCCTACACACTGAAACCTTTCCTCTCAGTACTTCCTGATAACCGCACATCAACGACGACCGGTCACTGAGTGCGATAAACAAATTCGTCGGGTGTACGTCCGCGTATTTTGTGTCCGTATCTGCGTCATTGTTCATACTTATATATAATAACCAGCGGCCGTCCACCGAACTATCCCAGTGCGGAAGAACCCCCACCCGCCCGCGCGTCAACTCGCGCTTATTGTTGGCCAGCCGGCTTGCCGCTTGCAGTGTACAGTATCACACCACGGAACAGGTATACCAACTCGGACGTGGTGCACGGCGCACAGCCGCTCTCCCTACAAGGTTAGGTTGGAAGGTACAGTGGGAGCCCCGGGTTCGACTCCCGGCGTCTGAATAGGACGGCTACTATGTGGACAATTTTTTTTCTGTGGTCAATCTGACCCTCTTTGTACGGTACTCTCGATGGGGTGTCGAATGGCTCTCGCCGTTTTCTGTTTTACTCAATCCCTTACTTATACTGATGGCCAAAAGGTCCTGTGAGGAATAAGGAACACCCACCCGCCAGACACAACTTGGAAATCAAAACTCTCAATCACGGCTGCTTGCATCGCATGGTATGTATTACACCTGCAAATAGGCATACAAACTCAGACATGGTGCACGGCGCACACCCATTCTCCCTATGCGGTACCTGTGGAAAGTACAGTGGGAGCCCCGGGTTCGATTCCCGGCGTCTGAATGAACGACATAGTGGGTCTCTCACTCTTTTTTCGTTCACTCAAGCTGACCCGTCATCCTTGGCTCGGTAAGCGCCCTCCCTGCGGGTCAACAACTACGGTTACCACCCGACGCGCTCAACGTCAACGCATTCAATTCCGCCAACAGGCATACAAACTCAGACGTGGTGCACCCACTCTCCCTGGCGCTGCTTCACAGATCTGAGCAGTGGGAGCCCCGGGTTCGATTCCCGACGTCTGACTGTGACGGCCACAAGTGTCTTTTTGTTTTGTTTTCTGTGGTCAATATATTATCCGGCCCTTCCTTGTACTAGTGGTCAACAGCCCGTTCCCCCCGTGCGTATTGGTACATCCGCCCATGCGTGCGCCGTTATCGGCGTCAACATACTCAATCTTTGAGCCCACCGTTGGCCATCTGTACCGTATATCGCACCTCATAACAGGTGTACAAACTCGGACGTGGTGCATGGTGCACACCCACTCTCCCTAGTTAGGGTCTAAGAAGTTCAGTGGGAGGTCCGGGTTCGATTCCCGACGTCTGAATGCAATGGTGACCTAGCAATTTCTTTTGTTTTTGTGGTCAATCTGACCCTTCCTTGTACCGATGGTCAACAGCCGTTCCCCAGTGCGATGGTACCCCGATCGTCCGTGCCCGCGCGGTCACGACACACAGATCCCACTTGATCAGTTAATTCATTTGTGCCCACCGTTGCCCGGCCGGTGGATTGTAGATGGTGTATCCCAACTCGGCACAGGCATACCAACTCGGACGTGGTGCATGGTGCACCCCCGCTCTCCCTAATTACAAAAGTACAAAAAGTTTAGTGGGAGCTCCGGGTTCGACTCCCGGCGTCTGAATAAGACGGCTATTTTGTTTTCTGTGGTCAATCTTACCCTTCCTTGTACGAATGTCAACAGTTGCCACCACCCGTACGCGCGCCATTAACCGACATCTATAAGGATGTTGAGGACGATCATACCGACGAGGAGGATCAGAGGGATTTTACTTGGATGTGAAATGCTGCCCGAGACTGGGAGGAGTGGGCGGAGGAAGGTGTGGTATCCAGGAGTCTGAATCCACCCGAACTGTACCTATGGAAAATTGCTACTTCTCCGTGTATAACATTTCGTTATAGCCCAGAACCGTGGCTGGGGTTATGGATAATATGCATATGTCGAGCAGACACTTGAATTTTAACTTTTGAGAGGAGAAAATGCTTGGAGTACGGGAACCCGCAGAGGTAGCCCTGGCAGCAAACTTGTTGACCGTCGATCAATCGTTTTGAATCGTGGAAATGATTGAGCGGTCTTTTGAACCGTGGGAAATCTACCGAAGACACGAGTTCCTCAAGCCCCAGCGCACATCTTTGATAAGCGACCCAATTACGGGTCGAATTATTAGTATGCGATGTCCAAACTCTTTCTACTATCATCATGAAACATCAGTCTGGGGGTGTAGAGAGCATAGTCAAAGAAGGTGGCGAATGAGCAATATAAATACCGAGTTTAAATGAATACAGTATGGAATCGCACCGTCGAAGCCCAGCTCCTTACGACATGGTGCTTGCGTTATTTGTGGCCGGTGGAGAGCCGTGAAAATACGTGATAAGGGGCACCAGAAATTAACTTGAACGGAGGAACACGAACCGGTCTGGCTCGGATTATCGGATTATGGGAGGCAGGAAATAGTTAGTCATGATAGTCGGTCAGGCGGGGATGTATCTGCGAAGGTAGAAGACCACCGAGGTCCGCGCGCAACAGCAAGCCCAGCTTCATACCATTCTCCGCTCCAACACCTTGCCGTCTGATATCGAACATGAGATATGGGCCGCCATCCAGAGCTTTCTCGACAAAGCACCGAGCGAGGTCGCGCGTTACGACGTCGAAATCGAGGCACTAGAGGATGTTCTAGCGATACTCAAGTCTGATCGGAAAGCAATGGAATCGTACGCCAATGGCTGCCGGAGTATCTCCTCGCCCATCAAACACCTTCCCACCGACGTGCTGGTCCAGATCTTCGGTCTGTGCTCGCTGCGTGGCGGAAACGGAAAGATGCCTACGCCTGCAGAAGAAGTGGAGCGTGTATCTCAGAACCATTTGCTTCGGCTTTCTCAGATTCGTTACCTGCTGCTTTCTCCCAGTCGTTGATAAGGTTTGCTTACTTTTCTTTCCATGGCTAATCGCAGGTGTGCGCCTATTGGCACAGGATTGCGATGGGCACCCCCAGCCTGTGGTCTACCCTTGTGTTTGATACACATGTGTGGCCCAGATGTTCCGAGCCTCCAACCACGCTGATTAGGTGTATTACTTCTGCGCTACAGCGCGGTGGGGAATTTCCTCTCAGTCTGGACATCGTGGTTGATTCGGCTCAGCCCATTCAGCAAACCCTTCTGGAATTACTCAGCCGGCACTCCCATCGCTGGAAGTCCCTTTGCATCATGCTTCCTATGTCCGCTTTTCGCTTTCTAAACGATGCCAAAGTAGTCTCTCTTGACAGACGCTCTATCAGTTCTAGCTCGTACCTCGCTTGATAGAGGAAATATTCTGTTATTGGAATCGTTGACACTTGGCTTCGCAACCCACGACGATACTTCCTATACCGACGACGTCTTTGAAATTGCCTCTCGATCGGAAGACGTGGGCGGGGCCGGTTTCCCTGTCGCACATCCGCGGCTCCCCTGGGCCCAGCTCCGTTTATTCAACTACCAGAATGGGCACTCTGGGAGCCTTTCCCTTGACATGCTCACACACCTCTCTCAGACAGTTCAGCTTGTAATAACCCCCACCGCTATTCCATTCGGACTACATCCCGTAACTTCGAACGCGGAGACGTTGATTGTCGGTTTTATCACCGACCCGGATCCACCCCACACCCGGACAATTTTATAGTCTCGTAACCAGCCGCTTCGTTGAGTAACAGTCACTGTAAAAACACACTACAAATTATATGAAGTCAATCGGGTGAAAACTGAGAGAGAAAAAAAAAGTGGCGGCAGGGTTACTCGAACGTAGAGTCTGGGAGAACTTAGTACGGAAAGCGGAGATCAAAGTTGTACGTAACTTAATCAATCTGACTTGGAAAAATTTCGACTTCATGAATATTCAACCTCCTTCAAACGTGATTCTGAATCATACAAAAAGGTGTGAAGCAGCCTCAAAAGCCTGTCCCCAACTTTCAACCCTGTGGAACATCACAACTGGAGCACAATGGTCTAAATGGTAACAGGCGGGCCGGCGGCCCAATGCCACAGCCACCCATCAATTTCTGCCTTTTTATTCACTCTGCCAGGACCCCAACATATACGGTTCCATGTCCGATCCCGGTGCGGACGGAATTGGCCCAAAAACTGCCTTCATGTCCAATCTCAATGCGGACATTTTACGCGGTCAAAGACCCTCAAGTCCGATCCAAATTCAGGACGCCATGGGGCGGTCGAAGATGAAGTCCGATATTTGAGCGTACGCTCGGCACATTTTTTCCCGTATTTGCTGCTCCAGCGAGGCCCCGCGCACTGCGCACAGGACTGGGCTTGGAAAATACAACCAACTCACCTTGTTCGCCCGAAAATTCCCTAAAAAAACAGGCTCTCGTGGAAATATGTCCGATCCAAAGCGCGGACGCTTCTGGTTGGAAAACTGACTACCTGATCACAATGCGGATGGATTTGGTCGAAAAAGTGAGGTACGGAAGTGCCCAAATCCTGGGAATTCGGATCGGACATCCAACCGCATATGCCGGGGTCCTACTCTGCCTCGACTACGGCCTGTGGTTCATCAGGAACTCAGAGGGCGAAGACTTTGAGGGTTGCTTTAACCTTTGCCCAACTCAGAATTGTGTTTGGTTCATATTGAATATTCATGAAGTCAAAAATTTTCTAAGTCAGATTGAGTAAGTTACGTACAACTTTGATCTCCGTTTTCCATACTAAGTTCTCCCAGACTCTATGTTCGAGCAACCCTGCCGCCGCTTTTTTTTTTTTCTTCCTCAATTTTTACCCGTTGGTTCTAATTCTTTTGCACACTACTACTAACACTGTTGCTCAACATAGAGGCTGGTTACGAGACTAACAATTTTAGGGGCAATCCTGGAATGCCTCACTTTACCTTGCCTAACTCAGCTTCGCTTCATCCGCCCCGACGTTCCGCCTCCGCTCTGGAATCAACCTAAATTTGTTGATTTTGCGGCGCGTTCCTCCTTGTGCGACACGTTGACTACCTTCGAGGTTTGGGCAAAGATCGCGGAAGACGACCTCGTGGAATGTCTCTCGCTGCTGCGGTCGCTGCAGGTGTTGCTTCTCTGGGACTGTCCGGACTATATCGTCATAACAGACAGTCTCTTGCACCACATTTCCTGGGCAGGCGAAAACAGTCTTCTCCCGCATCTCAGGCACTTGTGCTTAATCTCCCACCTTCGAATCCATTGCAAGATTGCATCACTTCACGTATTGCCCCTTGCCGCTTCGATGGTGGTTGGTTTGCGGCGCAGATCTTTTGGATCGAACGGGAACTCTCCCGGAGTTTGTTGCCCGGATGTCAGAATTAGACGGACTGACATTTTTAGTTAGCCCAGATGTAGTTTTTTGGTAGCTGTGCACAATGGGAACAAGTGCTTTCGATTTGACTGTGTTTCAAATTGTTTCAACTGAAGTTTAACCTGCTCGGTTTGGATTCCGATCATTTGCTTCGACCATCTTCAAATACAACCTAGGCAAGCTTGGTAACGAACGGACATCCCTACTTTCTGCGAACTTGTTCCGTCTCTTATTCGGCGAGGTCCCCGTTCAGTAATCATACCGTCATCATCCAGAACGATTGCACCTCTCATATACCGCCTCAAAAAGTTCCTCCCAATAACTTCAAGTTCATCTGGCTCGTCCTCTCCTCACTGTTGCCAACCTTCAGGCTCTCCTTGGCTCTCACCTCTTGGCTTGAGTGCATCGGTGCATCTTCTCCGTCAGTTTTCCCCGTAGTTCAAGTTAAATCAATGTCGCCGACTTCAAGCTGTCAACAGCTTAATCCCACGTAAGACGCGTCTGCCTTATTGACCTCGTGCCGTTCCCAACATAGGTCAAACTATTCCATCCGTAGCTTTCCGCTCTTGGTGAATGCGGTCAACGGATCACCCTTGAGCACGCTGAATTACAAAAGAATAAAAGAACGAGGAGATGATAGGATTTGCGTCAACTATGAAAATGTCGAGCAGCAAATATTATTTTTCTTTGTATTACAAGAGTCTAGCCGCAGGCCATATAATCCAACGTATGCGCTGTGACCGAAGTGATGAGTTGGTCGAAAAAGATGATCAAACCTAAAACTCACTAAGACAAGGAAAAAGAGCATAAACCAGACAACGTGCGTAGTCCTAGCCATCGTTTCGCGCACGGTCGAGGGCCGCAAAGTAGATTCAGGAGTTCTCATCGAACTTCTCGTTTATAGTGCGCTCAGACGATCTTGTACATGCTCGAGACGCCGCAACACCTCCTGGAGGAGCTCTAGTCCCAAGTTTAGTGGTCTGGCAAGGAACAAAAGAAACTGGATAGAGGAATCTACACACCCGTGACTTGGGCGTTTTCCGAGCCCGCATTCCCGAACACAGCGGAGTCCTCGGAGGCAATTCTACCGTAGCTTGACTGGTTGCAATAGTCTTAGTCCGCATATCGCGTTTAGCTATAGGTGCACGGGTTTGTAAGGAGCAATGCCAGCAAGAAGTAACGGCTTTTGAGGTCTTGACATTGCAGGAGGGGTGAAAAAGAAGTGGCAGTTAGGGGACACCCTGTCTGTTAAATCGGTTGTCTGATCATAAATTGGGCAGCGTTCAAACTCAATTGATCGAATCATCAAGCCCACTAAGTCCGGGA